GCCTGCCGAATAACTAAAATATTTGCTATCTATCGCACTTCGTTTTTTCTGATTTTTTTGGCTACATTTATTAGTTCATTTTGATCTATTTCCTTTTTGTAGTTAGTTGTTTTGATGGGCTCCCATTAAATTAAGCTGACAACTTTTTCTATTGCACCTATAAAACGGAGGTCTTCCTTGATTATACCCTCATAAACCAATGCATCTGTTGTGTTAAGATGTATTCATTCTATTTCTCTCTCCCTGACTCGGTCGGACGGTCAGGAAGAATTTGTGCGAATGCATCTTGTTTTTTTTAAGTTTCTTTGGCTGATCCTTTTATTTATTTAGGCTTTGCCTTATATGTTTTTCACTTATAAGTAGGTTTCGAGACTATTAGTAGTTGATATATTTTGGAGGTATTTACCCTATTTCGTTAAGGGGATAAAGGGCTTATATTTGACTTTTTCACAAAATTCTACTGCCAGTCCTTCATCGTCTTAATGAAATATGGTAAATACCTTACATGGTCGTAATTCCTAAAATGTCTCCGTTTTGAGCTGCATTATGGCATTATATTCTATATTTTTTCGGCCTCTTATTCTTTGCTCGTCATTTAACCGATTCTACTACATTTAGATTGCTATGTACTTTGAAACTCATAAATTCGATGTACATTTCAAGTTCCCATTTATTCTAAGTTTCTGCAAATAATTAAGAAATTTAGGCCACCTGTTTAAATTTACTTTAGCTCAGTTCGAACTTGTTTTCAAGGAGACCTTGTTGAACATACCTAGTCCCGTGTCCCCTGTCATAGTATTTGTGATTTCCACAAAGGGACCATTGAATTGGTACATTCCCAAACGTTTCGCTGGCATCGTAGGAAAACACCATTTTTATCTTCATATCTACGATCTAATTACTTTAGGTCCATCGTTGAGTGCTGGATAAGGATTTTCTGATCAATAAACATCTGGTCCTTAATGACTCATTTACTGCCCATTGTGCCCCGTTGACCGGTACTTGATTATGATAATAGTTAATATGCTTTTTTCTGCTCGTTTACCTGTTAGTCATGCTTTATTATTCGTCTGCTTGCCTGACTGCAGACCTTATTCGTATGTTGACCTGCTTTTTTGCTCCGCGACTCAAAATAATTCTTGGATTTAGCGCCACATGTCTTCTTCATCTCAACTCCGGCCATTTATCCACTACGCCAAGCGACTCAAGTCTTCCACGCCTCAAATTGCGCCGTGTCTCTCAGCTTAGCAGTCGCCTAGCCACCGCTTTCACATCTTCCTCTACCCACTCTTCTGTTGTTAGCTGTCTCAATTCTAGCACACACCCTGCTACCGCGGCTCCGTTTTCGGACTCCAGCCCGAATCTATTCAGACGTGCCAGTCAACTGTCTTTGGCCTCGCTTGCTTCCACTTCCACTCTGCCTAATGATCAGGCCTTGGTAATTGCCTGCTTCACCGGTTTCCTCCCCCTGATATTTCTCTCACTCGTATCTTCCCAATTTTCATGGTTCTTGCTAGAAGCTTGTCACATCTTCTCATTAGAGAACAAAAAATATGCTCGATTTCCTC